CTGTCTGCTAAGAAACTATGACCCGTGCCTCCTCAAGCACTTAGGTGTGTGCATCATCTAACACAGGCCTCCTGACTCCTTACCATTTCCTGAAATAACAGGATTCAACACCTTTGTGTCACTTCCCTAAGATCTAGCCAGTCTTGACTGAGGAATTTTGATTGGTCACCCCTAGGTTATAGATATATTTCTTTCTGGGTAAAGAAATCAGTAATAACAGGTAGCATCTGCTACATCTGATGCCCTTATCCCGATTCTAACCACCTGTTCTCCTGCCTGGTTACTGGAGTCACTTCCTAGTTTACCTCCCCTGGTTTATTTTTACCTCCTCTCCATCGGACAGCCAAAGTGACCTCCCTCCCCAAGAGTTATTGAGCAATGCCCTCAGTGGAGGTGCTTCAAGAGCTCATACTGTTCTTGGAAGTTTAAAGACCCCAGACTTTAATGCTATCTAGAAGGTCTTCTGCGCTCTGGATCTCTTTTTCTAGCCTCAGCTCTCCCCTTCCCCAACCCTGCACACATTCGGTTCTCTGAAAACGTGCCTTATTGCATCTTTGAGTTGCAGAGCCTTGGAAGATGCCTATGCCTCTACCTAGGAAAGTTTTTCCTTCTCTTTTTTTTCATCGTCAACTCCATTTCATTTTCCACTTCATAGTTGTGATATCTGTCTCTCTTAGACTCGGTAAGGACCAATTGGGATAAGCAATCAGAGAAGAGATAGTTATTCAGGTTAAAGGTTAAAGGAGGACTACAAAAAAGAAAAAGAAAGAGAAAAAGGGAGTTTCCAAGGTGCTAGCTACTGTACTCTTCCATAGAATATCTTTTATTCCTTCCAAAACTTTTTGGGAAATAAACTATTTTTCCCGTGTTCTGAAGAAATATAATGCAGCTTAAAGATATTTGCAATATGATGAAATTATGCACCTAAGGAATGGTAGAACGATTACCCAAATTCAAGTCTTTTTTTTTTTCCACACTCCTACCCTGTATCAACTCTCCAGTTAGATTGTATTGTGGAGCTTGGACTGCATGCCTTGGTGGCAGGAGGTTAATGTATCAAGTTTAGAATGATCACTCAACATCAAAGTGGCAAGAGATGGACTGGAAGGCAGGCTGTCATGTAATCCAGGTGAAACCAGGTGATGGATTAGTACAGCGTGAATTCAGTGCTAAAACTCAAGAAATTCCTGTCAGGCTAGATTCTCATAAGAACAAGGTCTTAAAATTAGCTTAGAACAAGAGACACAGCAGCCAAATCATATAGATAAACAGAACCTTAACAACCAGACAGTGACTGTGCCTTAAACAATGTAGGATAGAGAACCGGGTCTGAGCTGGAGCATTTTTCCCTAAGGCTAGGCATGAAAAGCTTTCACTCAACTTGAATGCTGGATCCTGGGCCAAACCTTTTCTGATGGACTTGTGAAATAGCAACGTTTCTCCTTCCTCCCCTCCCTTCTCCCCACGGGCACTTTGTTTTGCTTTCTCTGTGGTAGTCATGGCTCTCCAAGATTATCTTCTGTTTTCATGTTTATTGGTGTCCATTCTAACAAGAATACTCCACAACCAAAGGTGGGATTCTGTATTCCAAGGCCTGGAAATGAGTGAGCATGTAGTGAGAATTCTGTTGTAAAAAATGAATCAAAAAAAAAAAATATGAGGGGGAACCAGGCGTGATGGCACATATAGGGCCTAATTCCAATCTTGACGATGCAGAATCGGGAGGAAAATAAAAATAAAAAAAGGACTGGGATATAGCTTAGTGGTAGAATACTTGCCCAGCGTAGGGAAGACACTGGATTCAGCCCCCAGTACCACAACACAAAAAATTGGATAATAAATTATCCAATAGGCAATTTAGAGGTCATTGGGGAATTCTTTTCTTTGTACACAAAGAAAAACTATATCTTTAAAAAATTTTTATTAACATGCTTGTGATACACAGTAATTACATTTGTCTTGGGAGATTGGTATATATACATGTGAGGTCTTGATCTTTTTTTTTCCCTCCTGCTTCCTCTCTTTTTCCTCTTTTCTTAGATACTCTTTGCATCTCCAAAGAGTCTACCTTCTGTCTCTTGCCATCCCTCTTTTACTTTGCTCTTTAAATTATTTATTTTTAAAGTTTTTTATTAATTAATTTTATTGATACATTGAATGTATACAATTTAATGACATTCATTATTGGAAATTTGTGCTTTTACATAATCCACTTACATTTTTCCCTTATTCCCCTGCCCTCCCATCAACCCTTCCTTCCCTTCCTATCTACAAAGACTTTGTTTCCATTATTTTTCATTTTCTCATATTAATTCCATTTCCTTCTTTAATTCACTTATATTTTGGGTCTTGTACTAGAAAAAATCATGGGCATCTAACCTTCTGCATCTGATATATTTTTCTTAGTAATGGATAGATCTTGAATTATGTTGTTTAAAGGACATACCATAGTATTCTACCATATCTAACTTCTTAATTAATTCAAGTCCATCTCAAAGTATAGTGAAACAACTTGGACCAACAGTCAATCAAAACAGGGAGGGGCAGGCTGGTTTTCAAGATAAGAACAAGAGAAACCATCAGAACTATCTTAGTTAAATATGTACATACAATTTAAGAAAAAGATTAAACATGATAATCACTTTGTGGATTTCTTTAATCTGTTTACTTTGCTAAAGTTGCCAGTTTTATATCCTTTAGGTTGGTTCTCCAAATAAATAACAATATGAATCTTAAACTCTGTGTGTGGTGTGTGTGTAGAATGAGGAATGAAAAATTTGCCATATCGGGCTGTTGTTTAGAAGTAAAGAAAATCACCTAGTTTCTGGAGCTTTGGAGAACTGAAAGAGGACACAAAAGTGGTCCTAATGGCTTACTGATAGACATTGACATTATCCCTGAATTTAAATAGAAGGATTTATTTGGAGGTAGATTCTATGTGCCCCAATGTTATGCCAATGGAAAGCTTTTTGAGATGATTAAAACAAATGCCCTGATATTTTAAAGAGGGGGAAACTGAGTTCCCACAGGATTCATTTTATGCAAAATTATTGAACCTCTACCATATGCTGTGCCATTCAAACTCCCCAGGAGCTCAGTGATACAGGTACTATGCCCCTATATCATGCACGAGTACTCTGAGGCTCAGAGAAATGTAACATATGCAAGATGCTAAAATAATTGAGAACAGGTCTGGAACTGGAGTCTACTCTCTAATTCAGAGTTTTGAAAGAAAGGAAGAAAGGAAGAGGTCATTTTCTTTTTGACTGTTTTTTTAACATGGTTTTATTTTTAAACTCCATTACATGAAATAATACAAATTATAATTGTATTACTTTGCTACAGTTTCTGTTTTTAATCGACCCTAAATAATTGTACCCTGATGTGACATGGTATGATATTTCAATACCTTATATGATGCATAATGATAAAATTGATTTTGATACACTTTTGACATCCAAAATCCTGGGGAAATGAAATCCCCGTTTCCAAACTTCTATTTGCTAATAAACAGAGCAGCATTTCATGAGAGCTGGGACTTAAAATTAGGTCATACATGGCGTTGAAGAAGAAACTAGGCTAGAAAAAAGAGCTTGGTAATGTCATTAGCAGTGCTCTAAAGGTAGGTTTCTACTCCCAGTTCCAGGTCTAGGGCTGTGTATTTATTCATAACTTATATAACACACTTTTCATAATATACTGGTTCAAAACTCTGTTGATTCGGGAGAAGGGATTCTAAAGTAATATCGGGAAAGAGGTAAGATTCATTCTTACTTAGACATTGGGTGAGGTTCAATATGCAGGGCTGGGAGGGGGAACAGACCAGAACAGAAAGGGAAGGAAAGCTGGAGGACACATCCCCAAAGACCTTCCCTGGGGAAGACAGCTGCTCAGAAAGAATGGTGAGAATCTGATGGAGTTGTTAACAAGGGAGAAAATGTTTGAACCTGGGGAGCTGAAAGGCAGGTGCAAAAGGAGCTTTGATATCCAGCAGGCTCTGGCTGAGACAGAAGCTCAGCAGTGAACAGCTGAGCTCTGAGCGTATCTGCATGTTTATGAGAATTCCAGGCAAGAGGAGGCTCCCGCATAATTCCAATGCAAAAAGTTGTAGAACAGGTTTTGAAAAAAGTAAAAAAAAAAAAAATACCCTCATATTTTAGGATTGACCTAACTCAACACCTCTCCCTCTTTTCTCTTCATCAAGGAGAGACAGCCCACCACCCCCTGGGCCACCTGATCACCTCTTCTCTTACTGTTCCTGTTCCTCACACCCCTTCCTAATACTCGCTTCTTCCACAGAGCTTCACCCAAAGTCTGACTTCAAAAGCAGTGACCTACGTGAAGAATTAGGCCATCTTTTCTACTTTCTGGCCCTCAGCTCTCACATTACCACCAAACCTTATCTTATCTAATAGCTGCTAAGAAAGAAACTTGATTACTGGTGACTCACGGGTAAACTATCTCCGGTTCTTTCTGTGCTAAAGACAGTCTTTGTTAATCTCAAAGGCCATACATATTAATATCACCCTAAACAGTTTTGACCATATTTGTGGGACACCTCAACTTACACAACGTAGACCATTTACAGTAACATATTCATGTTAAGTAGATGCTAGAAACAAGATTTAAATTTATTGTCTATGACACGCATGCTTATAAAGTCAAAGCAATTGTGTTGTAAACTCAGCATGCTAATGAAAAGCTGCTTACACCCGAAGCACTATATGCAAGAACAGATTTACCTAGTAAATAGCTAACTTTGCAACAGTGAGGAGGGAATTTCCGGGAAAATGGCGGAGTGGTAAGCAACAACAAGTCAGTGTCTCTGAGATTTGGAATCCACACACTGGAAAATAACAACTCAGGGAAGAAAAATAAAGAGGGGAGTAGATCCCTAGGCATCAGGAAGGATCTCATAGCAAAGTCAAAACCTACAGAGAACTGTAAGAGACAGAACACAACGAGGGAAAAGGAAGGAACTCTCTACACTTTCTCCCCAGCTCCTGGCTTGTGATAAAGGGAGACCTAATCTGCAGAGACAAAATGAAAACAGGGGACTCCAGAGGGCTTCAGGGAGAAACCCAGCTATGGAATGGACCAGCGAGTCTGTAAGCTGCAACAGCTGGTGAGTGACTCCAGTCCAAGCACCCTCCCATCCCCCGGAGAGAGGGTGCTTGGTCCTATGGCATTCTGGGGAGGGGTTGATTGTTTGAACATGGGACTCTGCAGCTGCGGGAACACTTCAATTCAGGGCTCCCAGTATTACCTTCCCATAGTGACTAAATGAGTGACAGCCATGGAACACGGCCACGTTAGGGAGCTATGGTCATGTTGGCAAGAGACCCACCGAGGAATTTAAACTAAAAGAAACAGGTCCCACTCCCACAGCCAGATTGCTCTAGACTCGAAAGTCGCAGCCTTGGTGCCCTCACGCTAATCCTGCTAACGACGGTGTCAGGCATGGTTCCGGGGTCTGATTGCTCAGCCACAGACGTGAGCTGGGATGCGTCTTGACTTGGACACTGCACCGACATTGGAGATTCCAGGAGAAAACTGCATATTTGAAATCACACAGAACTTGTTTTTGTTTTGTTCGCTTTTGTTTTTGTGACTGTGGGCCTAGTTTTAGTTTAGTTTAAGTGGCTTTTGTTTTGTTTTGTTTTGTTTTCTCTTTTTCCTTTCCTCCTTTCTTCTTCACCAGTTTACTGGGGCACGAAGAATTTTATTTGGTCCTTCTCCCTTGTTTCTTATCTATTTTTCTCACTTCTTTTTTTCTTTATGTCTTGATTTTTTTTCCTTAGTTTAGCTCTCTGTATGATGTCTTTCTCCCTCAATGATTTTTTTTTTTTTTTTTTTTTTTTTTTC